CAGATTGCATGTGAGTGAGAATCAGGTGATTAATGATTAACAATGTAAGTGGTGCGTTATTTTTGCAGGCCACTGTATAATATAAAAAGGGAAACACTAAAGCCGGATAGTGCAATTCGGATCGATTGATTTGATCCGATTTGCAAGTCATTTTCACATGTGAAAGAAAAAAATTTTGTTTATTACAAGAATATAGTAAATATATTGATAAATATTATTTATTACAAGACAGTGTTGCTTTTTTTAAGAAAGAAGGATTATTAAGAATATGTTTTTGATATCAAATGCAAGCTATAAGTGTTATAATAACTCACTATTTCTACAGATAAAAAGACTAGAATATAATTATATAAAAAAATATTAGAGTATTTATCTAAATATTCATTCTATTATTATATAAGAAAAATGAAAAAAAATATTTATTTTAATAATATATACTTGAAATATATATCTAAAGATAATATACTTAAAAGTATTAATTCAAAATATTAAAATTAGAAAGTAATAAGAACTTTTATTATTAAAAGATCAAAGCTTTTTCTTATTATAGATTTATTTATAATAAAAATAAAGTTGTATATTTATCTTCTCATATATATAATTGAAATTAATCTAATTTTTTTTGATTATTTATCTTATTATTTATTTTTATAAAATATAATTAATTTATTAAGCTTGTGATGAGATTAATCTAATATAAATTATATTATTTTTGACATATAATCTATTTAAATAACTTAATCTATATATTTAAATTCATAATAAGATCTTTATTACAAATTATGATATAAATTTAAGTTAAATATCTTGAATTTTATAATCAATTCATCAAACTCATAATAAGATTCTTACTGCAAATTATAATATATATTCAAGTCAAATAACTTGAATTTTGTAATAAATCTGTCACTCAAATAACTTGAGTTTTGTGATCTATTTATTGCTCAAATAATTTGAGTTTTGTGATTTATCTATTACTTGAATAACTTGATTCATTCATTATAATCTAAACTAAGATACCATAACATAATTATATTATAATATCTAAAAAATATTATATTTTATAATTTTATTTATTTTTTTATTAGAATATTTTTAAATAAAATTTTTATAAAAAAAAATATAAATTAAATTATATAAACTCAAAGTTAAAATTTTCTAGTTTAGACTTATTAAATATAAGAAGACAATTAAAAATAAAATTTACATTATTCAGTTAATCTTGAAATAAAAATTAATTTTGTAATTTTAGAATATAAATAATATGAACATTCTGATTTGATATTATATTATACTAAGAGTGCTAAGTTGAGAACTAACAAAAACTTGGAAATATTCTCTCTGAGAACTTTAATTCTTACAAAATGTTCTCAAATAAGAGAACATTTTTAAACATTAATGCTCTTAAAAAAAAATAAAAATGTTCTCTGATAACATGAGAACATCGAATTTTAAAAACATTCGTTAATTAGGATTAGAACATCGTTACACATTGATCTTCCGATTTGATTGGTTTACCTCTTAAAAAAATTCTCGTGACAGTGAAAATTTTGTCGGGTAGTTCTTAATTTACTGTCACACGACTGAATGGATGATACACGTAACCAAAAACTTTTATTCATATATTTAACTTTCAACCAACATGGAATGTCTCTTTGGCTTTGTGGGTAAAGACTTTGTATTGACCGTGGCAGATGCTACTTCCATACAGTCAATCTTGGTCATGAAAAATACGGAAGATAAATCACGAGATCTTAACAAACACGTTTTAATGTTGTATTCTGGAGAGCCGGGAGATACCGTTCAATTTGCCGAATACATTCAGAGAAATGTGAGGTTTTATGAAATTAAGAATGGCATCGAGTTGTCTCCGCAGGCTGCCTCAAAATTTACAAGGCGCCAGTTGGCAGAAAGCATGCGAAGTCGGGTAGGTTTCTCTAGAAATTGCTAAAAATTGGGCAGACAGCTCTTATATAGTGCCAAAATAATGTGTGTTCATGTAAATCCGCTGATAAGAATGAATTGCATACAAAATTCAAGTTTTGATAAGTGCATAAAGATTCTTCTAATTAATAACGCCATTATACGATACAAATAATGCTAATAATGTTAAAACAATCCTAACAGAAACCATACGCGGTGAACCTTCTCATTGCTGGGTATGACGTAAAAACTGAATCCGGTCGTCTTTACTGGATCGACTACCTTGGTTCATTGGTTGAATTGCCCTTCGCGGCACATGGATATGGCATGTTCTTCGTGATGTCACTCTTTGATAGATATTATTATCCGCAAATCCCACTTGACGAGGCTAAAGTTTTGGTTAAAAAGTGTATAGACGAGTTGAAGACTCGGTTTTTAGTTAATATGGCGAATTTTAAGGTCAAAATATCTAATAAGGATGGTATTCAAGAAATTAAACTTGATGAATAGAAGGATATACAATATCTAAATAAAACTTTTACTTAGAAGGATATACAATATCTAAATAAAACTTACTTATTATTATTTAAAATTGCTACATCAATATTATTATTATTATTATTTATTTTTACATTATTGTTCAGCACTATGAAACAAATTGGACATATACAGATCCCCATTTACGCTTATTTGAGTATTAATACCACTACTAATTTCTGTTACTTCTACTACCAACGGCTACAACCACAATTATTACTGTATCCAATAACGATAAGTTGCAATATAATCCAAAAATAGAATTTTCAAGGATTACGATCATTCGCCGCAATCTTTTATCACAAGTGAATATTAACTCTTGTTGACAAAATACCCACGTGGTTAGCTAGACGTCTCTGTTAAAGCATTCAATTATCCTTCTGCTTGTCTGTCATATCTCCTCGTAAACGTGTAGAAGAAATGGCAATGCGGGCAATGTCAGAAATAATTGAAGCACCTGACTATAAACTTGTGCATCCTCCACAACAACAACCACCTGCTAATCATAGTCTAAAGAACCTACAAATCCAAGTTTTGGGTGTCCCACAAACGGGTGCGAAATCTCGCGTGGAAACACAGATAAAACTATGTCTACAACTTGTTACTGACAAAGGTGAAAAAGTGCCACTTTGGTCGCATTTGCGGCTTCCAGAGTACATGGTGGCTAAGGAGAAACTTAAAACGAAAAATGCGAGAAATAACCAAGGTCAATCAATGAATATCGTAGAGAAGAGTGTGCTTAATCTTGAAGCCAATGTGATTTGTGCTAGTGACGCTAAAAAAGTTCTCACTTGTCTTGGGTGTGTTCAACGAGAGGTGAATAATTTTATTCATTTTTTTGGTGCTCTTTGTTATTTCACGTTCTAACGATTTTCTTTTTGTCAAATCGTATAAATCATCAAGAGAAAAAGATCACAACGAAAAAAGGAGCATAAACTTGCCAAGGCAAATGCAAATGCCAATGGCGCCTCTGTTAATGAAGAATCCAATAACAACAATAACAATAACAACAATAACAGCAGCAACAACAACAACAACAACAACAACAACAATAATAGCAACAACAACAACAACAACAACAACAACAACAACAACAACAACAACAACAACAACAACAACAACAACAACAATAATAATAATAATAATAAATCATCGGATCTCGATGATGAAAAATCGCTACAATTGGAGCAAAGAAAAATTTTGTTATTTAATTGTAGTGAGATTGTAGATTTTAGCAGTGGCGATACAATTTTGCCAACACGAATCACCTGTTATTGTCGTCATCACAATGAAAAAGTTGGATTCTGGTAAATATCATATTTTCGAAATCTCGAAGTTGATATTTCAATTAATTAATTTTATTTTATCTTCCATAGTATTTATTTTGTCATGAAAGATTATACGAATGCTGTAATTGCGTCTGGAGTATCTCCCGCTATTATGATAACAGATGATCATAAATCTTCAAAAACAAAAGTTGGTTCGCGTATGAAAAGAGCTCGAGGAGACTATGGTCGACGTAATTCTATTACTCATCCGGATACTCCAAAGTCGCCTCGAGGATTATTGTCGCCTCAGATTGTGAACATAGCATCTAATGGATGTTTTTCAGAACCTTCATCCCCAATATCTATGATTTCATCCCAGCCCTCTTGTCTAACGTCGGCTACTCCACATCAGATTATTAAACAAGAAGAATCTAATAATAATAATAATAATAACAGTAACAAAGCTACACAACAACATCAGATGCAATCGATGATATTTGCTGCTACACCTTCATCTCTCTCGCCTCATTCTCCAATTTCTCCATTATCACCGTCGTCCTCTTGCGATAACACCTTCGAAAATGCTTTTCAGCTTTCTCAGCATCTTGACAATACTTCAACGACAATTCCATTCCCTATGGTTAATGCCAACAATGACCCAAATATGCTAGTAAATCTTTCACTTTCAAATCCAATTAATAATCTAAATACCCTTTACCAGCCAGTTCAATTACATCAGAATATGAATGCTGCGAATCAATTCAATATAGTTAATTCTCCTCATCAAGGGAACACTGGTGGTGGAATGCTATTGCATAATTCTATTAATTCCAATACGATGCTTCGACCAAACTTCTTCAATGGACCCGCCAATCCTCCTGTTTCCATGTTCCCGGATAGTACTATTAATGGATATTCTGTTCCAAGGATAAGTAGGTTGATTCCGCCAAATGGTCCAACGCGTGGTGGCATCGAGGTCACTATATTAGGAACTAATTTTTTTGGTAAATTCCTTTTTTAATGATCATATTTGGGCCTAACGTTTATATCAATATATGTAAATTAATAACTTTTCTTTTCCTTTCATAATATTAGATGGATTGACTTGTATGTTTGGAGAAAGTCCTGCAATCCCTACTCAATATTGGGGGGATTCGACACTTGTTTGCATCCTTCCTCCGGCAATCAACCCTGGACCAGTCATCATGAGTTTCAAAGAATTCCCAATAAACTTGTTTGACTCGGAAAATGATTTTGTTTTTTTCACTTACAATGATGGTATATATATTACTATGTAATTACTAACAAATATGGCCTAACGATAAAATATTAATCTTTATCTCCTTTTCTAAGATTCGGATCGTGCTCTGATGGAATTAGCACTTCGATATGTCGGACTGAAAATGACAGGAAAATTTGAAGATGCTCGAAACATTGCAATGCGTATTGTCGGAAGTGAAAATGATGATGGCCAATCTGGGCAATCTTCGGGTAATGGCAATATGAATGGAATGGCTAACAATAGTACTCTTTCTTCTGCTCTACAAGAAGCCTCAATGTCCAACAATCTCGAGGATCATATAATCAAAACTTTAAGTATAGTCGATGCCTATGAAACAGAACATCCTAACAATATATCAGTGCAGAATGCCACAAAGCATACAATGTTGCATCTTGCTGTACTGCTCAATTTTGAACAACTCACCACAAATTTAATAGAGAGGGGGATTGATATTAATGCTGTCGATCATTACGGATTCACTGGTGAGCAAGTCACTAAAACAGAATGTTAAATCTTTTATCGAATAAGTCGAAACTGATATGCTAGTTTTTCTATTAAAGCTCTTCATTATGCCGCATGGACTGGTAAAACCGAAATAGTTCGAATGTTATTGGCAGGTTTGGATTATTGCAAATTTTAGTTTTTGTAAAAATGCAGTTATCCTATTTTCTTATGATTAAAGCTATAAGCTTGAAGCTGAATTGTGTAAATTGTACTTTTGATATTTTTAAAAAAAATAATTGTAGCAGGTTCTGGTGATGTTATTAGAAACCGTTGGGATCAATATGCTATTGATTTGGCACGTATGGACCATCACGAAGATATAGTGAACTTGATTGATCATTATCAACATGATTCTGGTGTATCTTTATCACCGTCTTCTTCTGACGAGACATCCACACTGGATTACGACGAGGATTGGGATGATAGTAGTGATTTAGAACTAGAAGAACAAAAAACAATAAATGCTGAAAATTTTCCAGATAACAGAACGCAGAATTTTTCAGAAAACATTTCGCCTAAAGTAGAGTTGAAGAATGATCACAATGAAACCGGGACACAATTAGAAGAAACCGAAACACCTAATATTGAATGGATAGATTCCGAAACTGCCGCCAAATTAATGCTGCAAGATCAGACTCTCGTTAATGATGAAATTCCCATTGCTGAACCTGTAGAAGATGATAAAAAACCAAAGCAGCCTCTTACTGATCTCGCAAATGACCTCGCAAATGTTTCCTCTATTTGGCTCCAAAAGACTTTTGCTCATTTACACATGCCAACGCTCAGTAAACCTTCCCCGATAAACATCCAGTTACCAAATATCAAGATGCCTCATCTACAAATGCCAAATATTAATATGCCACAAAAATTTTCAACCATGGCTTTTACTCCAAATTTATCATCACTTCCACGACCTTCAATGCCATCTATGCCTTCTTTGCATTCTTTGCACATGATGAATCTTGAATTCCCTACTTTACCCACAGTTACATTCCCTGCTATAATACCTTCAGGATTCCCAGGTTTCGTGAGGGATAATCATTCAGCTGCTGTGAATGGAGAAGGAAGTAACATAGCAGCAAATTCTGGAGGATTCGAAAACTTGAAATTTGGAAGTAACTTTCATTGGGAGCATTACAAGAGAATGTTGTGGCAAGGAACGCCTCAAAATAATGAACAAAAAGCTAAGGACAGTAATACACCTGCTGGTCAAGATGGTGTCGGATTTTTGCGCTTCGGTGGATACACTTGGCCATTGTTCTATACATCAACTCCTCCCACACAAACGTCGTCACCAACACCAACACAAGCACCAGCACCGGCGCAACCACATGTACCCATGTATCCACACAGGCCATCTGAGGAACGAGGTTCCTCTATTTCATTAAGACATGCTAGTCGAAGAGTAGGCTTTGATGTCGATTCGATGGATGATGAACAATCTCTTGCATACGAAAGACATGAACAAAAAATCAGGAGGCTAAAACAAGATCGTATGTTATATCTATTCTGGGTACCTGCATTACTATGTAAGTAAATTAACATAATATCAATTCTATTGTATTTAATTAATAATTCTTGTATCAACTAATTTATTGGCTTGTTCATAGTGATGCTCGCGCTAGCCTACGTTCGTTATGGAATACCGATTGGAATATGATAACTGTCTATTTATTAAATCTAATTAGATTATTTTTTGGTTGTCGTTTATAATATATAGATATCTGCACAAACATTTTTATCACGATCATGCGTGTACATTATTCTTTTTTATCTCATTTTCACTCACAATCACATCCCCCACACACAAATTAATGTATTTTCAAGATTTTAACGAGTGTAATACATGTAATTACTTTTTTTGCGAATCCCAAATTAAACGCCATATAGAAAGTTGCATATGATTGATCGAAAATAATTTATATCATTATTATTGTGTGGCAATCACGAATTGAACCAACAACGGTTTTTTGAAGTTCTATGTTAACTACCAATGGACTATAACGACGTTTAAAGTTCTTGGATGATCATATTAATCTATTTATAAAAAAATGTCTTGTAATCTTTGCGGAGGAACTGAATTTGACTATGATGCCTCGTCAGGACAGACTGCTTGTCAGTCTTGTGGTAATGTAAAGTATTAACCGATTTTAACGGGTAAAAGTTAAACAACGTGTTTTATCTGAATTATCATTCTTTTAAAATAGGTAATAGACGAAAGTCGAATTGTCGCGGAGATCACTTTTGGAGAAGCTTCTTCAGGGGCTGCAGTTCCTCAAGGAACTTATATAGGAAGTGACCAAAGTAAATAGTTAATAATTTCTTTCAACAACTGCAGATTTTCTTCGTATATTACAAAAACTAATTATATTTATTGAAACGGGTAATTAAGGACGAGCCCGAATAAATGGGCCATATAGGAAACACTCGGAGCCTCGGGAGCAAACTATCAAGCGAGGTTTCAATTTAAAAAATTCTTTAAGTCTTACATAGCCTATAATTTCATTATTATTAATCTTGATCGACTTTTTAGGACGCTCAAAAATAAACAGCATAGCTACAGCACTGGGATTAAGCCCACATCATTCAGAAACGGCACAGAGATATTTTAATTTAGCGATTGCCAATAATTTTATACAAGGCCGAAGTACTGAATTAGTTGTTGCCGCATGTGTATACATTGTTTGTCGTAAAGAAAAAACATGTCATATGTTGATTGATCTAGCAGATGTTTTACAGGTATTTGTTATTTTAAATTCAATAAAATAGCATACATGTTACGAAATATGTCTTGGGATAATAATATTTTTTTTTATTATAAATAATTAAAAAGACTAATGTTTTTACACTGGGAAGCACATTTCTAAAACTTGTCCGAGAACTCCATATGAAACTTCCATTAGTTGATCCATCATTGTATATAACGCGCTTTGCCCAATTACTTGAGTTTGGCGATGAGGCGCCTAAAGTTGCGCTTGATGCTAGCCGCTTAGTTCAGAGAATGGATCGAGATTGGATGCAAACTGGTCGGCGACCTGCTGGTATTTGTGGTGCATGTAAGTGATTTCTTTAGTGTAAAAGCTTTATTTGAAAAATAATGGAAACTTATTTAGCTATGTCGAATTTCTAAGGTTTACTTGTTGCGGCTCGAATGAACAATTTCCGGCGGAGTATGAGAGAAATCATTGCAGTAGTCAAAATTGCAGATGTTACAGTTAAGAGACGGTTAGCTTATTGATGTCTCATTAAAGAATACTCACTTGTTTACTCTGAGTTTAATTAATCTCATTGAACTTTATTTCCAGTCTTGAAGAATTCAAAGCGACTCCGTCGGGACAATTATCAGTAACCGATTTTAAGCATGTCTGGTTAGATCAAGCTTGCGATCCTCCAGCATTTACTAAGGCTCGCAAGTTGGCAAAGCTTGCAGAAAATCGTAAAGCTAGTTCAAGCGCAACAACACCAGCTCCCGCTGATATAGAAAATACTATATCTGATCAGGAAAATGATGCAAATTTTGTTTCTATTGCCAGTCCTTCAAGTAACCAACCTTATCAACTCGCTGGAACTCCTAACTCTGTGACAAATGATGAAATAATAAGTTTATCCGATGATAATGAGGATGAAGTCTCTGGAACGAAACGTCGACGAAATACTGATGATTATAATGGTGACGAAGAAGAGGATAGGAGTTATTTTGACGCTAGTGATGTCGACGAAGAAGATATTGATATTGCAGAAGAAATGAATTCATATCTGAATAGTTCTGATTTTCAAGAGGCAGCGGAAGAAATGGAGGGTAGGTAGCTCAAATTTCATTTTTTTCTTAATATATAGATTTTTGTGTTGATCAGTTAATTTTTATAGGACAGATTAGGGCAGAACGCCGTGCGAGGATCAAGAATGATAGTGAATTAGGTTCTGATCTTGATGATGAAGAGGTTAATAATGCAATATTAAATGAGGAGGAGATAAAAATTAAAACGAAAGTTTGGATGACTGAAAATATTGATCATTTGAGAATGGTGGCAGGTACGTTAAATCTTACTTATATTGATTATTTTCTCCAAGTTGTAACTTGAGTTAAATTCTCTATGTATTTAGCGAAAAAAGCGAAGGCTCTTCGGGATCAAGCGAATGGAATAGGACCTAGTCAAAAAGTAAAATAAAGATTTCTTATCTATCAGTTCTTTTAAATTGTAGTTACTAACATTTCTTTTATTTCTATGATTGTTGTTGCTATCTCTCATTAAGCGTAAACGTCCTAAAAAGTCAAAAAATAACGAACAAGAAGAAGCTGCCACACCAGCAGAGGCTGCTAAACGGATGCTTACAGAAAAACGACTCTCAAAGAAAATAAATTATGAAGCATTAGACCGTCTTTTTGAAAGCAACCCATTAATTTCGAAAGAATCCGACTCTATAGTAAATACACCTCGCTCTTGGGAAGAATATGACGAGTATAGTGTTAGTGGAGCCGGCCTTAAACAGCGTGTTTCGGATACTACTACCATTACTAAGAAGAAAACTACAAATCTTCTTTCATCTAAACATACAGCGGATTATGACGAGTTTGATGAGGATGAAGAAGAGCAAGAGCAAGAAGTTGATGAATTTTTGGAAGAGCGTAGGCGTCTTGGGTTTATGGGCGAGGTTGAGGAAGAGCCGTACGACGATTACGATGAAGATGAATATTGATTAAAGTTTACGAGTTTATGGACTTTGGTAGTCTGTCTATTTGGTTATTGATTAGATATCTGATATTTTATTTATTGTAATTATTTAAAAATGCATTTTGTTAAAATCAAAATATTTAATAGCAAAACATATGGAACATGATATTTAAGCGCTAGCAAATTAAAGATAGAATTAATAAAGTGTAGAACAATAGTTTCATTTCTTTGGCGAAAAGGAATTTAAATATTTCATCTTTATTCTTTTAATTACAAATCGATTTGCAAAAATCTTTGCCTGGTCGGAAATATTGGTGGTGCCGTATGGTAACGTCAAAATGCCACAGACGTATGCCATATCAACGACGGATTGCCATATCAACTATGCCGTAACTAAATATTTGGATATAACTCTGATGTTAGACATGAAATGTAATGCGGAATGTGATGGATGTAACTTTAACGTTAATTTCGAAAATGATTAATTGGATGGATGGACGTAACTTTGATTTAGAGAATGATTAACGTTTACCCTTGAAATTGAATCCAATATGAATAAATAAAGTTAGTCTTTACTATGCATATCGTATCCCATATAGGTTCA